ATAAATATATTTTTGTTAGACTTCTAAATTTAAACCGCAATGAGTATGCCCCAGGCGACAGAGCGCCAAAGGACCGAGAATATATCCAATACTTGTAGATTAAATTAGATTAATTAGATTAGCGTTATTTTCCTTTGGTACGTATCAATTTGGTTGTTTGATTAGGGACTCGCTTGCAAGTGGCAACAGAAATTAAATTTAAAATCCGAAATGCGTACGTGCTCTCGGTTAAGCAAGCAAATCAAATTGTAAATTAAATTTAACGCTCGAAACATGACATCTACACAATGCACATAGCCTCGCAATTGGGCTCACATATCCTTAAAATTTTGTTATGATATGCATGTCTCTGAATGTAAACACGAATTCATACACATACATATGCCGATTTATATTTATATAGATATACCTATCTCTGTTGCCTGTTGTTGCTGTTGTTTACTCGACTGCTTCGGCTACCATTTTAATGAAAGTTCAAAAATGTGCAAAACAAATAAACAGCAACGAGGCGAAGGCGGTGGCGGAGGCGGAGGCGGAGGTGCCGACAGGGACGAAGCGGAGGCGTGGCCGGGTCTGGGCAAGCCTTGGCTAGCCAAGGGCGGGCTGGACATGAGCTGTGTCCATTTAATTAAATGAAAATTGCAGTTGTTCGTGCAATAATTGAAGTGCCGAGAATTTCCACATGCCAAGCGGGAACAGATATCAGTAGTTCAGCAAAAAAAATCCAATGTACATGCATATGTATTCATGTGTACACGCATGCATATGCAAACGTGCATGTGCATGTGCGTCTGAAGTACATGCATTAATATTTATGTATATTAGGCAAAAACTTGCATTCCTGATTGAAACTGAAGGGCAATGGCAATGGTAAATATATAATTACAGTCGAGCAGACAGCAATTGGGCTTTCTGGTCCAATAAACTCTGTAATCAGCAAATTAATTATATAAGCAGAAGCAAAAGTTAGTTGACTGTACTTCAATAAAGGAATAAATAACTGTTCAGGCCTTGTTTTATGTCAACTAGGTGGCAACTAGAAGGCTTTGACTGGAAAGCCAACTCAATTACAGGCAAATATTCAGTGTTGGGAAACGTAAACCACAAACGAGTATCGTTTTCCCTTGCCAGACCGAGTTCACTCTCTCTCTCTCTCTCGCTCGCTTCTGTAGGTTCATTAAATACAAAATATGCATCAATTAACTAAATTTCTAAGCCAATAAACACGCATCATAATCAAGGCTCAGCTCTAGTCAAGCTTAAGCTGAAATCTCTAAGATTCTGCCCCAGTCGACATTTTTGAGATTTATTGCTGCTAGGGTCCGTGCCTCAAGCATCGCATTAGAGGCGGCAGTGCGCACTTCATTTATCAGACTTTGACACTGACAGGACGCTACGGCCGCGCGTCCAGTTTCACTCTTTGAGTTGATTAACGACACGAAGCCCAAAAAAACAAAAACAAAAATAAATAAAATATATCTGTGTATATATATATAAGGACTCTGTAAGGCTTCAGCTAGTTAGCATAGTGTCAGCAGCAGCAGCAGCGACAACAACAACAACCGCTTGGATAATAACTGAGCTAACATTGCGGCGTTGTCAAGTCATATTTCACTTTGAGCGACGCCCACGTTGGGTAAATTCAAATGAAACGTCATATTGTATTTGTGTCCAGCTCGGCTTAGTCGCTCGGCGCGCAAAAAAAAGTAGACTATGGCACGAGTTATAAAGAAATAGGACAGTTAAGCTACACATTTGCGTGACAAGCTCGACAACTGTCAACAAACAACTTCAACTAGCCAGACACCCACGCGCGCGCACACACACACACACACAAGCACACAGCACGTGCTGTACGCGTCATGCGGGGCGTATGCGTATTACCGTTGGCCCAGCTGCTGGAAGCTGTGCACGGCACGTGAACCGCGAATTGACCTGCCATAAATAATTATAGATAGCCAAAAAAAATATACGACCATAATGCGATGCCAGTCACGTTCACGTTGACGTTCTTTGGCGTTGAGCAGTTTGGGGGAGTGGATTTTAGAGGCTGCTTATAAATATTTAACAATCGCTTTGAGGAATGCCCGCAGAAGACGTGCGCAAATTGGAATTATCGCCGCCATGACTCTCAATTAGTAGCGTTAAATTGTCAAAGCTGACATTCGCAGGGCAGCCTCTACCGCTGCCCCTCGCAATGACAGGCCAAACCCGGAGCTGAAGCTCTGCTGAATCCAAGCCAGGTGGCATCGTTGTAATCTTGTTTGCTGCTGTTTTGGCTTGCCTTGGCTTGGCTTGGCTTGGCTTGGCCCGGACCGGCAGCCCCTGAGTTTGCTCTATACATTTTGTTTAGAGAATTTGTTGTTGCTGTAGCTGCTGCCGTTGTCGTTGCCGTTGTTGTTGTTATTGTTGTTATTGTTGTTGCTGTTGTTGTTGCCTGTTATCATTTAATATCCTGTCACTTAAGTGCTGCCAGGACTGAAGCTGAAGGCGCGTTTTCTATGCGACAATTTGTTTAGCCCGCGCGGCGTCTACTTGATGCCTTGCAAAGTTCGAGCTCGATAACTGCTGCTTAGCATATTTATATCTCTATATACACACACTTATATATATATTTAGGTATATATAAATCATTTTTATTTTATTTTGCAAATAAGTTTCTGAAGAGGTTTTATAACGAGTGAAAGAAATACACAAACTTTGCGCCCCAAACAACGTCTCATCTTTGTTTATCAATGCTGTAGAGGCCCTCAGCAGCGATGACTGCTTATATTCCGTGCTTTTCAGCGCGTTTCGTCTTACTGAGCAGATTTTGTGCATACAGATTATTAGCACAAGGGTAAAAGTTGGTTTTTCTATTCAGTCAATTGCTTGAAATGAAATTAAGCACTTTACTGTATTTACTTGCTTCTGTGGCCTTTTGTGCACTTCTCAACTTCAACTTTGACAATTCAATGAGTGCACGGAGAGCAAGCAGACGCTACCTGCATTCGCCCCCCCCTCTCCTCTTCCTTCGGGCGAATACGTCGCGACAGTGCACTATGGGCCAAAAGCCCGATTTTTTGGAAAAAAGTCTTATTTTCAAGTTGAAAAAATTTACAAAATTTTAATGCCAATCCATTAAGAATACCCTATATGTAAATGTTACATACTCAGAATTTTAACAGAGGCGCGATCTGCTAACTAAACTGCTGTTAAACAGAGCTGTTATGCATGACACGCACATTATCATTTTGTAAAAAACTTTCTATGAATTTCAATCGCGTTGCGTTTGTAGCAATGAAACTACGCTCATTTTATAGAGTATTCAATTCTGAACTAACACCTATAAGTTCAACATGCACTTTTGCGCACTTTTTGCGCAATTTAATTTTTCAGCAACTAACCTCGTCGCAGACGAGGAAGAGGAAAAAGGCATTTCCGAAAGGCAGGACTTTTAAAATTTTGAGGTTTATGGCATGCTAGCTTCAGATAATGAAGAATACGACGATTAACAATAAAATATATATATTTTAATGTTATTAGTGCTTAAAATAATAAAATATAACCTTTTATTCCTTGAAAAATTTTTTTGTCAACTTCTACATACAAAAACTATATGATATAGTTAACCGATTTTGATAATTTTTTTACAGGATGGTGTAAATATCTTAAAAAGCAAAAAAGTTAGGACAGCTAATAATATGAAAGAGAGGCGGTACCACACCCATTTTTTCACCAAAAACGAGTGTTGCGAACGAAAGTCAAATGCAAAAAAACAAATTTAATTATCTTGACTAGTTCAAAAGTTATTAATTAATTCCAAAAAAACGGGCTTTTGACCCATAGTGCAGTGCTGACAAATGCGACTGCGAAAAGTGTAGCATACTTTCCAGCGCGCCAAGAATAAAGCTCTGTTGGAGAGCTGCAGTCGAACCTTGGGGCGCTCTTGGCACTCTGTGCAATGCCAGCGCGGCACATAAATTACATGGCACTTACTTTGTGGCAAACGAAGTGCCGGCTATTTTGTGGAAGTCACGCGCTCAGCTCACGACAAAGGCATTGGCAATGGCCAATGGCCAATGGCTGATGGCTGATGGCCTTAACCAAAAATTAAATATTAAATCGAGAATGGGACGCAGGGTGGAGCTGATTAAATATGCAGCGTTTAATCCATTAGCATTATAGGGCTTTAAAGCGAATGAAAGCGAAGCGACTTTTCCGTAAATTGCAAGAACAATACCAATATGAGAGACAGCGCGACTCGGTTTCGTGTTGGGCAACGGGGCGTGCAGTGTAAGCGCATGCAACACCCACAATTCGCATGCGAAAACAATCGATATTTAAGTAATTACAAAAACCTTGAAGCGACGCCACAATTTAAACACTCATACACCCACCCACACACACACACACACACACACAATCGCACATACACATATACAGTTCCCCTCAATCGCACAAGGTGCACTTTTATCTAGCCTCTTACCTTTTCAGTCGACATAACTAGCTACACATGTAGAAATTGTTTATATTTTAAATGTCCATATAATTTATAATTTACATGCAGCTGGAAAAGTTTTGCACTGAAAACGCTACTCTAAACGATGAGAGCTGAAAGCTTTAAGAAATTTATGAAAACCATGCAAGCAAATTATATAGTAAAAATTTCAATTCATATATTTTTGTTATGTCGAGCACTTTTCCGATAAGCCTTGCCTATAAAAGCGTAAAAAAAAAATATCTTGTTGATATTTATAGATGGGCAAAAGTGGATTAGCCTCGACAGTGTGTGCTCGAATTTTCGGACTCTGATTCGGGCTATTGAAATTTACCGCTATTCCTCATGCATAATAGACCAAGTTGACTTGGCCCTTGAGACCCAAGTAGAGAACAATCGACAATGAGTCGAAGCAAAATCAATATCTATATATATATATATATATATATCGATATCAAACCGGGTTACATACAAATATTGTTTCTGCCAGTACAATTTGAATAATATACAACTAAATTAATTAAATTGTAAATCTGTTTACATTTAATATCTGCATTCGTATTGCAAGGGTATGTGAAAGCAGGCTTACAGCTTACAGCTTGATCCCCACAGTGTGCTCACAGAGTCACTTAGTCCATCACTCAGTTAGTCAGTCAGTCCTTCCGTCAGTCCCATGTGTGACCTGGTCATTTGGCATTCACGTATGTAGGTGCTGTTGCCACAAAGTAAAAGACGAGTGTGACGACTGTCTTCAGAAAATGTAGACATATAAATGTATATGTATGTATATATAAGTATGTGTGTGCGTGTGTGTGTGTACTCCAGCTATGCCCATGGCTTGACTCAATTGCTCTGACATTGACTGCCAAGGTAAGCCAAACAGTGTCTCGGTCTTGGTCTTGGTCTCGTGCTTGAGCCTGAGCTTCAGCTGACGGCCTGCCTGTTGTCCTGCGTTGTGCTATTCCTTAGTCTCAGACCTCCTTACCGCTGCCCTTTGCCTTACCCTTATCCTTCGCATGTACTATTGCGACGACCCATTATCGTCCCGTGTGCCAGTTGCCTAACTGCCTCGACTTGTCTCTCGTTTGCAGCGTGTTTATTTTGCGCTCTGCTATGTCTGCCGGCTGTTTTTCAGTTTACCTGTCGGTTTGTCTCTTGTTTCCACTTAAAGCTATATATATGCACATACCTCCATCTTCCTCCACATCTGCCACTGTGTGTTTGCGTGCCTCGTATCCTCGAGCTACATACAATTTAGACAAGTTACCGACACAACTCAAATATTATTAATCTAATGGTTGCGCAAAAACGAATTCGCTGCAATTCGCTGTTTTCCACCCACTTGGATATTATTTATTTATGATGAATTCCCAATTACCAATCAGGCCGATTGCCTTACTTTACTTGGCCAACAGCGCTAACAAGCTGACGCTATAAATAGTCAAACGCGGCGAAGCCAAGGGCTAACGGCGGTTGTGTCAAAACCGTAATCAAATAAGTTAAATCTATATTTGGCTTCTGTACTCATAGATATTGACTTACCAGACAAGTGCAAAAGGCAGCTGACAAGCCAGGCCAGAGCTTGCACTCTGCACACAATGAGTTTGCTTAAGCAATAAATGCTAATTGCTGCTAAACTGCTGATTTCTCAATCAATCAATCAGTCAAGCAATCAGTCAATCAGTCAATAAGGCGACTTACTTAATTGAAGTTTAAGTAAATAATTGACAAAGAACTTACCCTAAAGCTAAAATCTTTGCCTTGACGTTGTTCTATGCATGTCTCAATCTGAATGATAAGTGGAACAAAGCCCTCTCTCTCTCTCTCTCTCTCTCTCTCTGCAGGAGCTGAAGCCGTTGCAGGCTGTCGGCGAGGTTCCAATGAAAAATGTAATGCCTGCACGAGTGAAGCACGGGCGCCTTTAGCCTTGCAGCAGTTCGGCAGCAGTTTGGGTTTCGGCTACATTTGTAAGCGGATACAAAACACTTAACAGCTAACAGGGACTTTGCATGGGCAATGAGCAGAGGGCGGCCCAAGCAGTCGACTAATGGCAACATATGCAAAATGGCGTCGCCTTAAAGACACAAAAACTAAAAAACGAAAATGGGAATGGGAATGGGAATGGCAATGGCAATGTGAATGTGGAAAATTTGAAACTAGTTAACTTAAGCCGAACGTGAAAGCACAGTGAGGAAGCCTCCATGTTTGCTCGCCATGTGATTGATGTACGGATGCGAGACAGCCGCTCGGTCGCGTGGGGCGTGCTCTGACCACAAGCAGAAAAAATTGCCACAGCGGTTGTCGAAAAGGGTTCGAGCCCCCGACCGTTCCAGGACCGCCCTCGGCCCTGTTTGACAGATCTAGCTTAAGCCGTAAGCAATGATTGTGTTTTAAACAGAGCAGCAAAAAGCGTAACAGAAACTTCATTACGTATACGTCCTGTGGTTCAGGGCGAACCCTAAAAATTAATTGGCTGCTCGGCACGAGCCGACAGCTGCCATTTTGGTGTGCCCTCGATTCACAGTGCGTAGACATGTCACCGCCACCCGCCCCACCTCGGCCCCACTCCCCCTTCTGTGACACCCGCCCGCCATGAACCCTCTGCAGTGCAGGTAGCTTAAAGATTTATGATAAAGTCGCCCGAATGCTAGGCAAGGCATAAAACTTTACCAAAGTTTGGCATTAGATTTCGCCATGGCTCATTGCGGCTCGTTTATCTATGAAATGAATGAATCTGAGTGCCACCCAATCGCAGTGAATGTGTTTCATAAATCAGTTTCAACTCAATTTCATGCTGGGAAATTCAAGGAGACTAAAGTGTTGCATAAATCTATTTAAGTAGATATTTGAATGTGTTTATAAAATAATTTGAAAATAGAAATAAATAAAAGTGGAAAAGAGGCAATATAAATAGTGGAATTTCCCAATAAAAATAGATGTATATATATACTATACAGAACCTTTATTGCCACTACAAATTGTCTTTTATGCAATAATTTTACAAAAACTTTCACAATTTGCTTGGCATTTTATTTTGGGAAATATCTTTTGTGCGCCGAGCTCAATGGAGCTGTGACACATGCTCCAAAAATTTGTGTTTTATTCTTTCGGTTTAAAGCTGTCCCCAGCGAGTTCCATTTCAGCAGCTCGCTCGCTCGCACGGCTCGCGACACGCCTATTGGCAGACGGCCCGCCCTCTTGGTGCGTATCGCAGCTTAAGCGCTTAAAATGCTTTTTGACAACAACAACAACAGCAACAACAGAGAGCATTGAAATGATAAATTTGCTTTTATCCCACTTTCTATTGCTCTGGCAGCTATTGTTGTTGTTGTTGTTTATCTTCCATTACTATCCAAATCCTAAGTACAGTTCTACTTTGCCGTCGCTCTGTCTTAGTCGTCTGTTACTGCTTCCTCTTCTTCTTCTTCTTCGTCCTCTTCCTCGTCGGCGTCTTCCACCTATTGCCTTGTAAAAATTTCATTGCCTACTTTTGGGGCGGCGGGAAAAATCACAACGCTGCCAATTTGCGCTCAATTAATTATGCTCTTTATTTTGGTTTCTTTGTTGCTGTTGTTGTTGCTGTTCCTGGCGGCTCTCTCTCTCTCTCTCTCTCTCTCTCTGCCTCTCATTTTATTATTATTATTATTTGTGGTCATGTGCTTGTTTTTTTTTTTTTTTTTTTTTGCGACCGCCTTTGTGTTTATTATGCGTTGCTGTTGGCATTACCACTTAATTTATTTTGGCTGACGCTTTGCGGACATTTTTCACATCTCTTCAGTCTTTTTTTTTTTTTTCGAAAAATAATATGAAAATCATATTATTTTTGTTTACTGCTTTGCATGATATTCAATATTGCTTGGCGTAACGCATCTTTATGCGCGACATTAATTGCACTTACAGTTATTAATTAGCTGACGCTTTACGCCAATTTACGATTCAATTCAATTATAAAATTATAATTGGCGCAACTGTAAAGGGAATATTTACAGTTTATGCACACATCTGTCTCCCAGTGGGTCGATTTGAGGAGTGTTGGCAACTGCTTTGCCTGCAAGTCCTTGTGCGGCATCAACTCAGAGCGGTTTCTATGCCATACCACTTATATATTAATATATACACGATTACTTTTCGCCTCTGCCAAACCTCTAGTCCACTTAGCTATCAGACGAGAGCCGTGCTCGATGAGTCTATGACATAGTATTCAAATTTAGGCTGCATTATTCTGGCTTTCACTGCCAAAAGTGTCGCACGAATTCTCTTTATATCCTTTGCCCTTTGAAAGGCAAAAAGCGAGAAGATTATAATGCAGTTCAACAAGGTAGCAGCGGGTATACACGACTTAACTTGACAAACATAATTTCATTTGATGTACATATATTTAAATAATAATTTACATCTATGCAGAGCTTTTAGGTCTTAGTTTTTGTATACGCTTTACAGGGTATTTTCTAGTCGATAGTGGCATATTGTGCACCTCTTTTGCTGCATTATGCAGTATTTTTCACACTTGATATAACAGGCTGCCATTTGTTTGCACAGCAGCAGACGCCACGACCCTTGGCCCGCTCTCCCGCCCCCCCACACTCAAAGATCGCTCGACTGCATTGCTCACTTCGGCAATGCCATTTGCCAAGTGGATATATGCGCCTGCAGGTGTGTCTCTGTGAATGTATGTATGAGTGTCTGTGCGTTTGTGTGTATGTGTGTGTGTGTGTGTGTAATGGCTCCCAAAGCACACAAACAGAACTGTCAACATGCAGCCGAGGGGGCTAACTGCTGCCAACTGACAGATGCTGCTGCTACCGCCTGTGCTCTGCTCTGCTGGGGCTCTGCTGGGGCTCATCCTGGTGGCTCGCTTTCAAGTGCTTTTTCTATTTTGCCACGTCTAATGCAATTTTTATGCTGCACTGGAGCCAAAAACGCTTCCGTTTGTTTCTTTGCGCAGCATCTGTTTGCCCATTGTCTTCGTCAAGCTGCGCTTAACAAAGGACGATGCGCTTATTAAATTGTCGGCACCCCGCAAGTATTACACATATACATACATATACTATATATATACAGAGATACGAACAAGTACAAGCACATATATATGTATGCATGTATTCGCAGTGTTTCTAGTGTTTTTCTGACGGCTCTCGTCGCGTTCATTCTCGTTCGTCTTTGTTTAGTCGCTTTGATCGAAATAGCTGGCACATAATGCAATTGGCGAGGCGTGCAGCGACTTCGCTTCCATTGACAGGCAGCTTCATTATAGTCGCGCCGCAGAATGCCGCGTGTCAGCGGCAGCCAAAGGATGTCCAAGGACATGCGCTGCGCTGGTTACGCCTTTGTCTGCTTGCGCCACTGCCTGACCACGCTGATTGCAAGCGCATTTAACGAGCATTGTTGCACTCCACATAGAAGCAGCGGCGAATAAGCTTAGTTTGAAAGCGAACTCAAGCAAGGTAAGAGAAATTAAAAAAATACAGGCTCTTAATCTAGTGGAGGCAAAAAGCCAAATATCTGTTGTTACTAGATAAAAGTGGAAATGTTGGAAATATGGGAAAAACAAGTGCGAAACTTAATGCTGTAGCTTAACTAAGCGCGGAATCGACAAAGCTGAACATTTTCAATAAATAGATCCTTGAATCAAGTTTACACTGAAGAAGTAGGAAGCCGCTAGTCAATTGTGCCCGACTATAAGATACCCTTACTACATTCAACTTTGGCTAGTATATTGAATACACCTAAAATTAAATAGCTCGAGCGCCATCTAGCGACTTGAAACCAAACTACCAATTGGTAATTTAAATTCACATTTGAATGTGTGTGCACATGAATGGAACGTACCGGGAAACCCCGTTTTCAATAGATTCAGAGTATAATAAAATGTAATTATGCCAAACGTATACAAAAACATTTAAACTTTTGTCTAGAAATTCTCAGAATAATAACTAGAGTTGCTGACATTAAGCTGCTTAGCAAGTTTAAATAGAAATTGCAATTCTTGTTCAGCTCAGTTCGAAGAATTCAAAAAGTATGCGCAAAGCTCAATAATAATATTAGTTATGAACGGCAGCTGCTCGACACGTTGTGAATGCGGAACGGAATCCATTTATTGAATAATGCCGATATGCATAGCAGCTGTTGCAGCTAGCGCTTGGGACTTACCTTTGACCAGGGTGAGGATGCCCAGGGGCATGACGAGCACGGCGACCATCAGATCCGTGATGGCCAGCGACATCAGAAAATAGTTTGTCACATTCTGCAATCGACGTTCCCAGGCAATGGCCAAACAGACGAGGATATTGCCCGCTGCCGTGCCAAACACCAGCACCAGGGCGAGCAGGGCCCAATAGTTGTTGGTGTCGAAGGGCGACTGGGCGGGGGTTGGACTGGGCATTGCGGTTTCATTGCTGAAGCTCCAATTGGCCAACGTCTGTTTGCTGGTGCTGTTGCCCGAATCGGGCAGCTGCCAGAGCAGCAGATGCTCCAGCTGCTCAACACTCATATCCAGCGTGTTCCAGCCATCCTCATCCTCGGCGCCATCTTCGGCGGTGCTGTCGCTGTCGCTGTAGTTGAGCGTTGCATAAACGTCCTCCTCCATGGTCGTAGTGTGGATTTGCCTCTGCTTTACTTGGATTTAACCAGCCGATGTTGTTGTTGTTGCTTGTGCTGGTGCTGGTGCTGGTGCTGGTGTTGTTGTTGTTGTTGCATAGTAATTAGCCGTAGCATATGCGATTGGGGAAACAGCTTTCACGTGCCAATTCAAATTGCAAAATGCGGCGGAAATAGGCGTCGCTGCAAGGAGACGCGCCGAGAATGCAAGGGACGCAAATGTCTGCACACGAAGTCCTTCTGTGGCCTCAATGCCTTTCGGCCAGGTTCATTACGTTGACGACAGCCCGGCGGATATTGGTGGCAAACATTTTACGACGCAAAATTACCGGAAGTTACGCGCTGCAATAGAGAACAGTAAATGGCAATGAGAGCCTTAAAGGAAACTTCAATAGCCACAGGAAGCACTGCTATAAAAACTGTTATTTTATAAAGTAAAGCCAGCTGCACGACTTAGAGATAGTTGATGAATGTGATAAAAGAAAATGGGAAAAGTCCAATGAGAAACATTGCCATGGCATAGATGAGGTCAGCTGATCAACTAGGTAGACATGGCATAAATCTATTATTATCTATGCATATCCATATATGCCATGCAATATATATATAATATATATAGATTATAGCTGAGTTAGCAGAAAATATCTGATTAAAGATGTGTTAACAATAATTTGATTTGCTTTCAATCCTGTTCATAGCATTGAATTGAAACATATAACACGCATAATAGAGAAGAGGTAGTTCTATATCCAATATATATGTGATATATGATCTATATAAATTTTCATTGAATTATTCTGCATCATTAGCCACATCAGGAACACACATCCTCTCTGCCGATAATCTATATTAGAATTTCCAAACTGTTTTTGCACTAAAGCCAACAAATCGCGTTCAGCAATTTATGTTATTCATCATAAATAAAAACAAATGAGCTGCAATAAACAACGAACCGCGCTCCGAGCCACGGACTAGCCGAAATGCCGTGCTGCAGTTGATATTAAAAAGCAAAAACCAAAATGTATCAGTATATTCCAATATTTCATTTCGAGTAAGGAATTCGTATTATTTTCGAAATATACACAGAAAATCAGGTTGAGTTTGTGTATAATAAATAGAAATTTATTTCATATTGAAGCAAAGGACCAAAACCTCAAAAGCCAAAACACAGAAAGTCATACACAAATATACACACTGAGAGAGAGGGGAACAGCAAGAGAGAGAGAGAGAGAAACTAATACATACACATATAGGAAAATATTTTAAGAATGGTCAAATGAAATTTATTTCTACAATTTTCGCACACAAACCGCAAAAGGATCTTTCGTCTTCTGCTTCTATGGTTCATTTTGCTTGAGAACGGGCTATTCTTGAGGCCGATTGGCTTGTGGCCAGGTCAGCAAACCCCAAGTATACTTTCGAGTGAGAATGTGTATGTGTGAATGTGTGGAACACAATATAAACAGTAACCAGAAACAAGCCGCAACAACAATGACAAAAACAATCCATGAGTAGCGAATGGAGCAGCGCTTGGCAAAGGACTCGCTTCAGCAGCTTGTTGACTTTACGAGTGCCCCAACTGCCCTATGCGGCCCCACTTCGCTCCGGCCCGCCCCGTCCCGGCCCCCATTAATGCTTAGCTGTCTGTCTGTGGAGTCCAAGTGTTCAAGTGTCAATGTTGTTGTTAATTAATTTTCCTGACTGACTGATGCATGCCATTGATAAGAGTCAACACTTTCAGTTGCCAGCTACGAGTTGACCTGAACCCATGTCCAAGTGGCCCGTTCGGTTGCTTTGATTAACTGTTTTGTTGTTTAGTGTTTCGTCCAGTTGTTGTGCTTGTAGTGCTGCTGCAGCTAATGACAGTCAAACGACCATGTGCGTGTGTGTGGGTGTGTGGGTGTGTGCGTGAGCCGAGTGTTTAAATTTCAAGCTGTTCCCTCCTCATATTTATAAATACATCTCGCGCTAAGCCGGGGCGTATGCTGCCTAATGTCTGTTTAAATGACGTTTAAAATTAGAGCGCCCCTAAAAGCTGTCTGGCTGGCAACGTTTCGGGTCTCGAGCCCTGTGAGCCAAGGGAAGCTTAGTTAGCTTTAATTTCTTTATTAGGATAGGCAATGCAAAAAATGATTTATTTTATAGATTTTTTAAAATATACCCAAGCACACAATTTATGTAAAACTAAGAACGCAGTTGCTTAAGACTCGAGCACATAACGTATTAACCAAGTGAAGCGTGGCTAACAATTAGCATAACGGAAACTTTGATAAGTAAAGTTTAAATAGTTTTGAATTGTTTGGGGAAAAAACGTAAACTGACGCAACTTAATAACTAACTTGGAGAGAGCGAAATGGAAGTTAATTGCCTTGAACTTGCTGCGATTAAAAATGAATTTCCCAGAAGAAAAATTCAATTTCTATAAGAATTTAGCACTCAGGCCAAGATATTCGGACAATTGTTGGCATTGGAAGACAAACAAGAGAACATGGAACACGAAAAACATAAGCAAATAAGCGATAGAGTTCTATTCGCTGTTCTACAGCAACAGGATATTCCATAGTCATGCAAGCTCAAGAAATATACCTGCCATCAGATATAATACATATATACATCTATTTCTTTGCTATATATAAATGGCATGTCAGCACACAAAGCGAAGTCAGAGCCAGCCAGGAGCCATAATTATTTGTGTGTGTGTGTGGGTGTGTGTGTGGGTGTGTGTGTGGGTGTATGTGTGTGTGTACGAGCCTGTGTCCCATGTTTCCTTGAGTGTGCGCCCATCAATGTCGGCCATTTGAACATGAATTGCACAAAGGCCGAGCACTCTTTATATATAGAACTCCAACTGTATCGAATAAAAAGCAGCGCGAGTGCCATTAGTCATATTAATCCCAGCAGAGTCATTAAGTCGTAAAACTGCGCAAGGTAGCAAAATGCCAGCCAACGGCAGTCCACTCTCGCAGTGGACTTTACTCTCTGCAGTTTTCCTTTTGACTGATATGAGTGTATCAATCGAGTATTTACAAACAAACAGGGATATTCAAGGATACCCATGCACATACCCACATATATACATACAAATATGTTGTCAGGTATTTGGGTCAAATTGGTCATTCGCTTCGCTGTCTGCTTGCGGCCGCTCAGCAAATAAATAAAGCCGACTTTAAGGTGCTCACGTCGTATACTTAATTTCGATAGTGTGTTAAGTATAGCAAACAGCACAATGCCACAGACCAAACATGAAGACAATATTCAAGCCATTCTCTGATAATTCACTTTAATAAATTGATTTCAATTCGAAGTAAAGTGGCGGGAATTTAATCAATAAAATTATGTTAAAAATATTATATTTTTAAGCTTAAAATCTAACTTTTGTTTTGAAATAAATATATATATATATATATATATATATATATATATATAAACATATATTTTTTTATGCGGATTTTACTAATAAAAAAATAAACATATCTATAAACAAATATTCAAAAAAATATATAGAGATTTATATAGACCTCAGAAAATAAAAATAAAAAGTTTTTGAACAATTAATAATTTTCAATGAAATGCAACAACAAAATAAATATTTTATCTTTTCGAACTATTTTGATGAAATTAAAGAATATATGAAATAAACTAAGATACTTTGATAAGTTAATCTTTTTAAAAAATGATTTAAGTCAAGAATTGAAGAATTGAAAAATTAGTTTAGCAGGGTATTCAGTTGGACTTTAAGAGTCTTAGCCTGTCAGAGTCATGGCTCAACAAACAGCACTTGCAGCTTTATATGGAGCAGTAACTTTTATTTCCGTTATTAATGCGACTATTCGTGATAAAGCCCAAATGGCGTATACGCCAGGTAGTGCACGTGGGATGTTAAAGCATTCTCAATGTGTCAACAGAAGCAGACACACACACACCCACACACACACACACGCATATATATACACAGGACACACCACAGCTGTCAACGGGGTGTCAGCTGGCATTTTGATTAGAGCGTCGACAGCTTAAAAGCGCATTTCATTTAATTTATTTTGGTGTTTTATTTATTAATATTTTGTGGCTGCTATCAAAGCGGCAGGCGGCATTCATATTTTCCAGCCAATTGGAATTTTAATTTCAGTCAGAGCCTGGGGGATTCCTGCTGCCAGAAGCTGGCGACTCGCTCTCAACGTCTTCGCATGCAAATTCATTTCATTTCAATTTTTTGCCATTTTGTAATTGAATTTGGAAATTAAATTGATTTCTACCAGCCGCATACCTAATTTATAATTATTAAATTTGCATTCGAGTCTCAGCAGTTTGGCCAATAATTTAATGCTCCAAGTGCTCCACAGCAAGCGGCCAACTGTTGTCCACTTTTGTGCGCTGATGTAATAGGCCAAATGCCTTTTGACCACAGTTTGTCAGTTGGCCAAAAATTCTATTTTCTTTGCGCCGCACCCAGCCGACAGCCGACAGCCGACAACTGACAGCCAAACAGACAAACAGCTCCTTCAGCGATTAATCAAAGTTTCAGTTGCGTTTTTGCGCAGTTCCCCCAGCGAAGCAGCACACATAATTATAGAGTATAAATATACGCTCTATATATATACGTATACGTTCATCTGCAGGTGAGTCGACAAATTAACATTTAGCTCGAGTGCGCAGAATGACGAAAGCACTTATTGCCAAATGTCTGAGCTGGAAGCAAAGCGAACATCACAACAGGAAGTCACATAATAGAAGGAAACTCGTTACGCACTTGCTAAATTGATTACCTATGACGATTCAAGCATATATGTGTATGATATGTTTGTATTGCCCTAAGGGTTCGTTTAAATAATCTTACAAAAGTCAAATACAATTAAAACTTCTTAAGGGTACTCGCACATTGCTATAAATTTAAATAATAATTTAAGGGTCTTTATTATTGTACAGGATATTTATTGTTATGTACATCAATTTTTAACATATAAAAAAAAAGATGAAGAAAAACGGTATTTTCAGCATATACCTGTATATTATGAACATTTTAAGTTTAAGTATTTTTGTAGAGCATTTGAGCGTCGCTTAGCTGGGTAAGGGAGGAGCGTTTTCCACTATTTTCGTTCATGGAACTCGTTTGCAATGCGCCATTAATCATACGGAGCTTAGTTTACGCTCAGAGCTCCATCAACCCCCGCCCGGCAGCACTTGCACCCCTCTGGGCCATAATTATTTAGTTGTCATAGCGAGTTGGCACTTAAAACGTTAGCTAAATTTACACATGCACTCAGGCCGAGTCAACAGCAAGAAGAAAAGGCATCAAACAAGGTCCTCGAACTGAACGCGGCGGCTGAGTGTGTGTGTGTGTG